ACAGGGCTTGCTAAGCTAAGGAAGGAGTGGATTGATCGGCGTGAGAAGCTGGGAACACCTAGATACACTCAAATGTACTATGCTAAGCAAGGAATCATAACTGAGGAAATGCTCTACTGTGCTACAAGGGAGAAGCTAGACCCTGAGTTTGTAAGATCAGAAGTTGCGCGAGGGAGAGCGATTATCCCTTCCAACAAGAAGCATTTGGAGCTGGAACCAATGATTGTTGGTAGGAAATTCTTGGTTAAGGTCAATGCGAATATCGGAAACTCCGCTGTTGCTAGCTCGATTGAAGAAGAAGTCTATAAGGTTCAGTGGGCGACAATGTGGGGAGCTGATACAATCATGGATCTCTCGACTGGTCGTCACATTCACGAGACACGCGAGTGGATCTTGCGGAATTCAGCTGTTCCTGTCGGTACTGTGCCTATTTATCAAGCACTTGAGAAAGTGGATGGAATTGCTGAGAATCTTAGCTGGGAAGTGTTTAGAGAAACTCTGATTGAACAAGCTGAGCAAGGTGTAGACTATTTCACAATCCATGCTGGAGTTTTGCTGCGTTACATTCCTTTAACAGCCAAGCGTATGACCGGGATTGTTTCGCGTGGAGGATCCATTCATGCTAAATGGTGCTTAGCTTACCACAAGGAGAACTTTGCTTACGAGCACTGGGATGATATTCTCGACATCTGTAACCAGTATGATGTGGCTCTTTCAATTGGGGATGGTCTCAGACCTGGCTCCATCTATGATGCTAACGACACTGCTCAGTTTGCAGAGCTCCTTACTCAAGGTGAACTAACTCGCCGAGCATGGGAAAAAGATGTGCAGGTACTAGTTATTTCATTCACTCAAGTGGTTGATTATTTGCATAAATATTTTCTCAATAGTGGTTGATTGTTCTTTCAGGTGATGAATGAAGGGCCAGGGCATGTCCCAATGCACAAGATTCCAGAGAATATGCAGAAGCAGTTGGAATGGTGTAACGAGGCACCATTCTACACATTAGGTCCTTTGACTACTGATATTGCTCCCGGATATGATCACATTACCTCTGCCATTGGAGCTGCCAATATCGGAGCATTGGGCACAGCTCTTCTTTGCTATGTTACACCGAAAGAGCACCTCGGGTTACCAAACAGGGATGATGTGAAAGCCGGTGTTATAGCATACAAGATCGCTGCTCATGCAGCTGATCTAGCCAAACAGCATCCACATGCCCAGGCATGGGATGATGCACTGAGCAAAGCGCGGTTTGAGTTTAGATGGATGGACCAGTTTGCTCTGTCCCTGGACCCCATGACTGCTATGTCTTTCCATGATGAAACTCTTCCAGCTGATGGAGCCAAGGTTGCACACTTTTGCTCCATGTGTGGACCGAAATTCTGCTCTATGAAGATAACAGAAGACATCCGAAAGTATGCAGAGGAGAATGGTTATGGCACTGCTGAGGAAGCCGTAAGGCGAGGAATGGAGGCTATGAGTGAAGAGTTCAAAGTTGCAAAGAAAACCATTAGCGGAGAGCAGCACGGTGAAATAGGCGGAGAAATCTATTTACCAGAGAGCTATGTCAAGGCTGCTCAGAAATAAAAGGTCAGTATTGCTTAGACATTGCTAGCTCAACAAACATGTTAGATACTTGTTGCTCGTTTACAAGCATAAGATGTATAATTATTTCATAAAATTCTGCTTATTACGTATAGTCAAATGTGTCTTTTGCTTCTGCTTCCTCAGGGAAAGGGTTGGAATAAGACCTCGCTTACCCAAGTGGCTGTTGGATTATCTATACCTGGATAAGGCACAAATAGTCGGTAAGCTTAGTAGTCTCTATGTCTTGTTAACTTAAGAACTATCTATGTTTCTGTCTGTTCCTTTGAGTCAGAGTCAGCAATAAAAAGACAATCTAAGTTAATGTTTTCAATACTTTGTGTGTGATTTGGCTGCTGTATATTGACATGCAAAAGCACCAGGGGTGCTTGAACCAGGCTAGCCCGCGAAAAGAGCGGGCTAACCGGGACCAGGCTGAGAAAGTCCCTTTGAACCTGAACAGGGTAATGCCTGCGCAGGGAGTGTGCAGTTTTCTTTCTTTTCTGTAGCGTTCTTCAGGAGAAGAAGCTTCTGCTGCTGCCGCTTTCCTAAGTCTCGGTCCACAATCCCCCACTCATGATCTAAGAAATTCAGCTTCGTTGACTGACTGACATCCATAAAAATAGTCAAGTAACTGATGCACTAACAGTAAGATTTTATTCACTCAAAACTTCATTCAGATTTTGATAAAAGCTCTTACAAATCTTGCAAATGTTTTACCATAAGTTGGCAATTTTTTTTTTACAAAGATGTAGATTGTAATGGTAAAACTATCAGAAAAAGCATTATGATAAAGTTAATCGAAATTCCGACAAGCAATATCATACGAATGACTTGTACAAGTTACAAGTATAACATTCTGAAAATGCAATTGTTTGTTTTTCCTAAACCATATCGTAGGTATAAACGTAAATTTTGGTGTCATTAAAGTTATTCGATGTTTATCAATGTTTTGGAGGATAATAAAATAAAGATGAGCACCAATGTTAGTTATAGATTTTCATGTCACTAAGTTATTAGAATGTATAGAATTTCGACCATATGAGCACTCCCGATTTTGATTATTTGTTATCATCACTAATACAATAACAAAGGAATTTTTTTTTCAGTAATAAAAAGGTTTGACCATTGTTACATTTCACTTTTGCACAACCCACACTGACCATTTTTCTCCACACGACCTGAGTATAATGGCCACACACTTTGTTCCAAGCACATGTGTTGGAATTATAATCGTAGTCAACTTGCACCTTCACCTACATCTTAACCGCATCAGCACCTGACATGCTACCACTGCTCCAAGCAAGGCTCGCCGTTGGGTCTGTTCGAGTGTTGCAAGGCCGCAGTCACCTTTACGCTTGGTTCCTAATCTCATCATCTAAACAATATTCAAATTAAGTTTC